CCTAAGCCAAAATCAAGACTCAGATGCTTAACTGACTGAGCCACACAGGCACCCCTACGAACCTGCTTTTGAGTCCCAAAGCAGCCACCAACTAATATGTGACTTTGAGCATCATTTTCCCTGTCTGGGCCTTAAATCTTGCCTCACTCGAGTGTGCTATGGCCGAACAGGGGTCCTTGCACTTAACCTATCAAGGCATGGGGCAGGGAAGTAGCTGCAGAAGTGGGTAAGGGAGGCCCTCTTCCTGCTGTCTCCCAAGAACTCACAACCTAGACCTCAGAGTCTGCACATAGTGACCCCTCAGCATCTGTGTATCAGTCAGCTATCACTGAGGATAATGCTGCAAAATACACAATCCCCTAAATACGATGGCTTCCAAATGGCTATTTTTCTTGGTCATTGGTTGGAGTCTGCAAGTCAACTGAGGTGGCCCTGTTTCAGCATAGGAATTAGGTCAAGCTCTTCCTTACATGTTTCTCATTCTGGAACCAGCTGCTACCCAGGTTAAGTCCCATCATGGCAGAAGGCAGGAGCACAAGAGGCCAAGCCAACTCAACAAACACATATAAAACCTCTGCTTGCATCATGTCCCCTAGAATGTTCCATGGGCCAAAACAAGACCATGGACAAATTTGGCATCCACAAGGAAGAGAAATACACTCTGCCTTCTTTTGTGGGAGGTGTTGGGAAGTCACATGCAAAAAGTGTGGGTGTGCAATTTAGTCACAGGGAGAGAATGAAGAATTGGAAACCACAGATGTTTATCCAGTGACCAACCCCCCCCCACCACAAGTGGCAGGAGTGGGCACTGGGCTCTGGGCCCACCGTGGGCAACAACCTTGCTAATGGTCTTCTCTGTTCCTCGGCAGGAGCTCAGTGAGTACAACGCCACAGCCATAAAAAGCCCCACCAACACGGTCACTGTGCAGGGCCTCAAAGCCGGCGCCATCTATGTCTTCCAGGTGCGGGCACGCACTGTGGCAGGCTACGGGCGCTACAGTGGCAAGATGTACTTCCAGACCATGACAGAAGGTAAGCAGCATCCAGAGGGCAAGAGGCGGGCACTGACTCCACAAACAGAATACATGTAAAGGCAACTGCTCCTTCAACGTGCCTTTGCACAAATTAGAAAAGGCGCCCCCTCTTCTAGATGTCAACCTTCCCTGCTGGTTGGGAACCAGTCATACAGAGGTGCTATTTTCTGTGATTTGGAAAGCATAGGGGCTCCTCCATTGCTATCGTGTCAGCCACTCCCTTTCACAGGACTCTCAGGAGCTCAGCCCTAACTTGCAGACACACTCTGAACAAGTCACTTCCCTTTTCTGGTCCAAATTTTTCTCATCCACAAAATGAAAGCATCATATTCAGTCTTTGCGAGCACACCTATTTCATCCGTACACTCCTCCAATGACTTGCAGTTGGATTGAGAAGAATTCTAAAGTTCAGCAGCAAGAAGTGCTGGGATGGATTAGTGATGTCTGCCCTGGACAAGAAAACGGGAGGTTGCAGCCCATGTGCTGTGTGTCTCCCATTGTGGGACCACATGGTCTCTAAGTACCCTTCCTATTCGAATAGTCTTTGAGGAACAGCAGAGTTAAGAGTATGGGCTCTGATGCCAGCCAGACAGAGAAATCACAGTGCTGATTCAGCCCTAACTGTGTGTCCCTGAGCAACTCGCCTTACCTCTCTGAGTCTCCGTTTTCTCGTCTATAAATGGGGATGATAACAGCTATCTCATTGTCAACATCATCATCATTATCAAATTAGTGTAAAGATGGGGGATAAATATCTGGAACCTGGCACAGGGTTGGCCGTAGCTCTCACATGTAGTTAGCGCTTGCCAAATCATAGTTAATGTCATAGTTGTCACTGCTGTGAGTCTGGGAGCCCTTTCACCAACCAATGAAGCCCCAAGGCAGCTTTCCTTATAACCAGACTCCAGCATCCCTTCTTAGCATCAGCCTCAATCACTGGCCATGGGCCTTGGCCTTTGCCTAGCTGAATGTCTCAGAGGCTTAGACCCATGAATTCTTGTTTTATCACAAAAATTCTCCCTAATGGCTTTACCATCTCTTCCAGGACGCTAATGGTACCTCCTCTATAAAGCCCCACTTCCTCGTGGCCAGCATTTTCACCTTTGTAGACCTCTTGCATGTTGGATGAGTGTCATTGACCTGGAGCCTTGGAGGACTGTCCCGAGATGCTTTCCTTACTAACTCAACAAATATGTGCTGGTGCTAAGGACCCAGGACTTATCTGGTCCCTGACTTTAATGAGCTCCTGTCTGGTCATGGAAGTACATGAGAAGTAATAATAATAAAATTAAAAACAATGATGGTGTTGATGGCATTGAAAATGTACTGAGTGGTTTCCAAAAGCCAGACCAATGCTGAGTGCATTTTATGCATTATCTCATATAAGCCCGTGGCCTTGGGTCAAAAAGACCTCGGTTCAAATGCTGGCTTTGGCCACTTTGTAACTGTGTGATCACATGCAGGTCATGGCATCGCTAAGTGTCGCTTCCCACATCTGTAAATGGGGTGATCTTAGGCACCGAATCACAAGATTGTTCTGAAAATCAAACAAGATACATAACATACTTAGCACAGTGACTAAAACATAAAATACTCAATAACAATAATAGTTAATATTTACTGAGTGGTTGCTACCTGCCACATGTCCTTCTAAGTACTTTACACAACAATCCTATGAGCTAGGAACTGTTAATCTCCCCACTTTACAGATGAGGAAACTAAGCCACAGAGAGGTAAGTCACTTTACCAGAAGTCACAGATAGTAAGTGGTACTGCCACTTCACCCAGGGAGTCTGGCCTCAGAGTCCGTGCTTATAACTGCCTCTCTGTAGTTATAAGTCAGCTTCTTATCATTGTTGATTTTCATGTCAACATTGAGGTATAATGCCCATTTTATAGATGAGAAACTGAGGGTTGGAGCAGTCCATGGACTTGTCCAAGGTTACCTCTGAGTGAGTACCAGCCAGTTCTCCATCTGGGCATGTGACAGGCGCTCTATCAGGAGCAGGAACAGAATCTGGGGATCCTAGGAGACCCAGCCAGGTGGGGAACATTAGGACACCCAGAGCCAGGCTGACAACAACGTGCTTTCTCCCCCAGCCGAGTACCAGACAAGCATCCAGGAGAAGCTGCCACTCATCATCGGCTCCTCGGCGGCCGGCCTGGTCTTCCTCATTGCTGTGGTCGTCATTGCCATTGTGTGTAACAGGTGGGTGGGTGTCTCCAGCCCCTTTCAGGGCTGGCTGAGCATCTATTCAACCATTCCTGAATAGCGTCTGTGAGCCAAGGAGATATTCCCATCATCCCCAGGGCCAGGGAGAGGCTCGCACAAGCCTGGATACCCTCCCTGCTACCTAAACGGCTGCCATTGGCTACATCCCTCTGGGCTCAGAACATGACTACATGTTGAGGCCCCTACATGACTAGGGCCACAAGTGGGGTGTCAGAGGGGAGGTTGAGGAGCTCAGATAAGGCCCACTGGCTTTGGTGGCAGGAAAGACAGAAAGGATGTAGATGGGAGGAGGTGGGGGAAGGGGAAGGGACATCCCAGGTGGCCGGCACAACATGTGCCCAGGCAGGAGGTGGGACTTGTTCCTGACTTCTGCAGGGCATCATGCAAAGACACTCTCTTCCTCCTTAGATCCCCACTTTATAACAGACTGGGCTGTAAGGTCAGATGGACAGAAGCCCCTGGGATGTCTGGGGCCACGGGCGATAACTTTCAAAGGGCTTGGCTGGAGAGGGGATGGGGAAATGGTGAGCCTGGATTTGAGGTGGGAGAGGTGGGAAGGGATGAGGGCGGCCAGGAGGGGTGAGGCTGCTAGGCCAGGGGCAGGCAGGGAGTCCCCTGGCAGGGGTGTGGTTTTGAGGGCCTGCCCTCCCTCTCCCTATCACCTACTGTGGCTCCCAGCTCCCCGGGGGCTTCCAGGTGGCTCCAGCCCTTTGCTCTTGTTCCAGAAGACGGGGGTTTGAACGTGCTGACTCGGAGTACACGGACAAGCTGCAGCACTATACCAGTGGCCACAGTACGTACACCCCAGCTGGGCCGGCGCCCTTGGGCCCCTCACTCTTAGTTCCCAGCAGCCTCCCCAGCCTCCTTCCGCTGCCTCCCACCATGCCACAGCCAGACTGAACGTTAGGCTGTTCTCCGAATGGGCCAAGCTCACTCTTCCCTCTTAGCCTCTGCACATGCTGCCCCCTCTGCCTGGGGCATCCCCCACCTTCTCTTAACCTGTGTAACTCTCCCCTCTTCCTCAGCCGCGGCACATACAAACCGCTCTGAGTGGCCTCCCCGGACCCCACCCCCCCATCCCACCCTGGCTTCAGGGCCCCATCTGTGTTTGCACAGCGCTCCCTTACCTGGCCGCACCGTGATGGCCGTTTCCTTGTCTCCCCAACAGTATAGCGGGAACATCTGGAGACCGGAAAGTGTGTCTGACACTCACTGCTGCCCCCCAACACCAGCACACTGCCCAGCACATAGAAGACACTAGATACATATTTGCACAATAAACACATGAGTTAAATGAGATGATGAGGACCCCAGGCTCTGGCCCAAGAGGTGACTCTTCTGGTAGCCACTTCAGGCACTGTTTTAGGTGCTGGGGATACACAAGTAAGCAAACCACATATCCCTACCCTTGTGGAACTTATACTCTGGTGAAGGGACAGGGAACAACAACAACAAAAAACACAGGTAATAAATGAGAAAAGCGCATGGTGTCCTAGAGACGAAAAAGCACTAGAACAAAAGGCAAAGTAGAACAGGGCGATGGATCCAGAGTTTCAGGGTCAAGGCTACCTTTTCAAACAGGGCAGTCAGAGTTGGCCTCAAGAGGGTTTCAGGTAAGCAAAGACACGAACAAGCTAGGGGCGTGAGCTGCGTGGATATACCTGAGGGAAGGGCCTCCCAGGCAGAAGGAACAGTCAGTGCAAAGGCCCTGAGGCTGGAATGTGCCTGGCAGGTTTCAGGAGGTTAGTGTGACTGGAGCAGAGTGAGGAGGCAGGAAGGGCAGGTATGAGGGGTTGCAACATGCAGATTCTTCTCCGCCATTGCAGGGCCTTGGTTTTTATTCTGAGTGAAATAGGGAACCTCTAGGAGGGTCGGAACCAAAGACTGACGTGCTCTGAGTTACAGTTTTGACAGGACCTCTCTAGCTGCTGTGTGGAGAATGGACTGAGGGGGCTGGAGGGTGCCAAGCAGGACAGAAGCAGGGAGACCTGAGAGGTGGCTGCTGGAATAATCCAGGGAAGATATGTGGTGCCTAGACCAGAGTGGAAGCAGTTGGCGGTTGGATTCTGACATTTTCCAAAAAGTAGATGCACTGGGTTTCCTGCAGGTTTGGATGTGTGGAGCATGCAAGAAAGAGCCGAGTCGAGCAGTTCTAGATATTAAGCCTCTGGGTAACAGTCAATTTAAAGGAAAAGTTCCTGAGCTTAAAAAATCATTTTAGACATAAATGTAAAAAATAATTAAACCATTAAAATTTCCGGAAGACAATTTTGGTAACTATGTAATGGATATGTGGATAGAAAAGGAGTTTCAGGGCACCTGGGTGGCTCAGTCAGTTGAGCATCTGACTCCTGATTTCCGCTCAGCTCATGATCCCAGGGTCATGGGATCGAGCCCCACATCCAGGGCTCCGCACTGAGTGTGGAGCCTGCTTAACATTCTCTCTCTTTCTCTGCTCCACTCCCCTGCTTGCACACTCTCTCTCTAAAATAAATAACATGAAAAAAATTATAAAAAGAAAAGGACTTTCTAAGCATAAAAGCAATGGAAAGCTCTCAAAAAAAAAAAAAAAAAAAAAAAAAAGCAAATTTAGCTACACCGAAATAAAAAATTCACCTGTACATTAAAAATAAAAGTCATAAGTTACATCACCCCCTCCTCTTCCCCAAGTAATAAAATCATGGTTGTAGATATAGCTAAATGCATACAGTATGCCCAGGAATTGTTTTCATGCGGTACATATATTTGTTCATTTAATCCTTATAACTGCCAACTTTGAGCATGAGGGAATTGAGGATCACAAAGCAGCTCAGGGCCAGAACGGAGGTCCACACTCCTCACCACACCATGCTGTCCACGCCTGACTAAATGTGGACTAAGGTGGCCGAAGCTGGACGAAGGTGGCTCACATGCTTTGTCACCTGGAGCCACGTGGAAGCCTCACTATTTAGAGTGTGAGTGGGTAACAAGGAAACAGGTGACAGCAGGGATTTATTTTTAAAATAGAGCCCAGGATTTGTTCATGGATCAACATGTTCTAAAGTCCAGACTGCCTCTGAATTTTAAAAAAGGACTTGTTTTTCAAAGCCCTGCCAGCCTTGGGGTCCCACACCCCCCCCCCCCCCCCCCTCTGGCCGGCAAAATCACCGCAGGTGGCACGCTAGACAGAGGAGGAAGCTGAGGCCCGGAGATGTGTGTGACTGGCTTGAAGTCACCCTCACCGGCTCATGTGTTCCCTCGTCCAGCAGGTGCTGAGTGAGGACCAAGGTCCATGGTACCTGGATGTGGACCAGGGGGACCAACCTGGTTTCTCTTCCCTGCTCTACCACTGGCCAGCTGTGTGACCTTGGGAAAGCCATCGAACCTCTCTGAACCTTGGCATCTTTATATGGGAAGTAGCAAGAATGATGCTTCTTTCACAGAATTGTGAGGATTAAATGAATTAATGGATATTAAAGTGCTTCCTAATAATATTTAATAATAGCCAACTCTTCTCTATAGCAGGTAACAATTATTCGGCGCTTTCTATTTGCCAACTACGATACTTAGCCCCTTAAAAAGATTCTCGTTTAACCCTTGCAGTCCCCTTATGAGGTAGGTGCTATTTATGATCTCCGTTTTATATGTGAAAAAAAAGTGAGGCACAGAGAGGTTAAGTAACTTGCCAAAGGGCACACAGCTGTATCAATACAGTGGTTGATCCTCCGTTCAAACTCATAACACAGCTTTTTTGTGACTATTATTACTGGCAGATCCAGAACTCAAACCTGGTCTCTGAATGTCTGGTTCTTCCTCCTTCCACTTGAATTTCCCATTTGGGTCCAGGACAGCAGGTCCTGACAGTCATAAGTCATCCAAACAGCAAACCAGTATTTTCTGAAGACTCTGACTGCAGAGATCCTTATCCAACTTCAGTTCAGCAAATACCTGTCCTGGGAGCCAGGCCTTGAATAATCACCTTCCATTCCAGGAGACAGGATGGGGAAGCACCCGGAAGAAAATAGTAGGCTGGCAGTTACAAGTGTCAACTCACAGCCAGACGACCTGGATTCAGCCCCCAACGGGCTGTCGCCTTGGGCAGGCCATCTAAACTTTCTTATGCCTCAATGTCCGCATCCAAACAATGGGGATAATATTAGGTTGGACCCAATGAAATTGCCATGTTTGTAGGTCGTAAACAGCCAAATACTAACAATTTCATACGGCTCAGCCTAATAATAGCATTTACCTGGCAGAGTTGTCAGGAGGATTAATTGGATAGATGCCTGTAAAGTACCCAGAACGGGGCCTAGTGCCTGGTGAATCCACGCTGAACTGTGAGTAGATTGTGTTATTAATGGTGAGATGAAACCAAAGGGTCACAGAAGCAGAGACAGTTTTACTCAGAGCCATACAATCAATAAGCGTTTATTAAGCATCTACTGAATGCTCCTTCACTTGTGTACTGTAGAGAAAACATTCTAGAGCGAGGGCTCGTAATTGGGGGTTCACAAACCCCAAGAGCTTCAAGGGCCGGTGAGCATTCCAAAACTGTATGCTGGGTATGGGAGTGTGACACACACGTGAATAATTTTCCAAGGAGCAGATCCATACCTTTTCTCAAAGGTATTCATGACCGGAAACAGGCGGAAAGAGAAAAAAGGACATTTCAATAGGTAATGCTATTATTCTTTCAGTAAGCATTTCTCGAGCCTGCTCTATGGGTCAGGCTCTGGCATTTAGCATGAGCTAGACAGACATGACCCCTGTCCCCCTGAGGGAGAGAGGGTAAAGCGAGCCCTCACAGGCAGCAGAGTGTTCCAGAAAGGGGTGGCAGGAAGCTGTAGACATGCATATCCGGCAGACCCCATAAAAGAGGAGAGCCATACAGATGTCACGGCCATAGGAGTGGGTGCAGAGACAGGGCTTCGGGAACCTGAAGAGAAAGCATGGATCTCCACTAGAAGGATCCAGGCAGCCTTCACGGAGGAGGTGGCATTTGATCTAGACACACAGAGGAAGAGAAGTGCATTCCTGGTGGAGGTAACCACATGAACAAAAGCACAGAGTACAGAAATGATCAGGTGTGTGGGACCTCTGGGTAAATACTTCCTTTTTGCTGTAGAGGATCAGGGAGCTGAAGTTGGAGCCCAACCCAGAGAGTTTGGAAGGCCAGATGAAGGCACTTGCCTTTGTTCTGCAAGCAATAGAGAGCCCTCCTGACCAACACTCCTGGCCAAGGCTTGGGGATGGCATGTGATCGGTTGACAGTGCCCAAGTCAGCTTTGAGCTCCTGCTCTGCTTCTCCTTAGCTCCCTGAGCTGATCCATTCCTGTCCTCCCTCCACAGCTGGCCTGGCGGAAAGGGCTTCCCCCAGTTCTGTCGGAGGGAGGTTGAAAGTCAGTCACCAAGAACCACAGGCCAGGCTCAGAGTTTGAGCAAGAAAGGGCGCATCTCCCAGGAGCTGATGTCCCCAGTCTGAGGAGGGCTGACTCAGAGAAGGGGTCATGGCTGAACAGTCCAGGAGGAGGAGAAGGCATGGACCAGATCTGGTTGGATTGCATCTGGGAGGCCACGGGCATGATGATTAAGAGTAGTGGCCCTTGGCTCAAATCTGACAGGCCTGGATTCAAGTCCTGGCTATACCATTTTCTAGCTGTGTGGCCTTCGGTAGGTTACTTAGGCTCTCTGAGCTGCAGTTCCCTCATGCATGAAATGAAAATAGTGATCCTTTCCTCCAAGAGTTGTTGGGTGCAGAAAATGAGATAATCCATATAAAGAGCCTGCCCAGTGCTGGACGCAAAGGGTCTTTTATCTCTGTCACATGGATTCTGCTCAGCTCTATAGACACTGAGTGTATATTCCATGTAGAACTTTATGCATTATTCTAGGGGAGAGAAAAACGAGGAAAGACCATGCACCCACCCACCCCCTCCACCCAGGCTCCCACAGTTATAGGTGGTGGTTCTTAATTTCTTTTGGGGTCTCAGGCTCCTCTGAGTCAGCTGAAAATTTTGGATCCTATGGCCAGAAAAACACAAATATGCATACACGTGTGTATATAAAATTATAAAACAGAAAAATCTAAACTCGGGGATAGATTTGGGGAGAACTTCAACTTTCACAATATTTATTTCCATAATTTTTAGACTATAAATAAAGAGTATGAGTCACTTTTCTAATTCAAAATGGTAATAATAGGGGTGCCTGGATAGCCCAGTTGGTTAAGCGTCCCACTCTTGACTTTGGCTCAGGTTATGATCTCACAGTTGTGGGATCGAGCCCCACGTTGAGCCCCACTCTGGGCATGGAGCCATGGAGCCAGTAAGATTCTCCTCTCTTTCCTTCTCTCTGTCTCTGCCCCCCTCCCCACTTGTGCTCTCTCTCTAAAATAAATAAATAAATACATACATGCATACATGCATTCCATTTGGGAGGTTACCAGACTCCCCTGTCCCACCAAACTCATCCTGGGTCTGTCAAGTGGTTCACAGACCCAAATTAAGAAAGCTTCACCTAAAGCGCTAGACAGGGAGCCCTGGCTGGCTCAATTGGTAAAACATGTAATTCTTGATCTCGGGGTTGTGAGTTTGAGCCCCATGTTGAGTGTGGAAATTACTTAAAAATAAAATCTAAATAAATAAATAAGTTAATTAGTTAATTAAAGGGCTAGACAAACACCTACATAAATAATCCAAAAAACAGCTAATGTATTAGAACCGTAGTTGGCAAACTTTTCTGTAATGGACCAGAGAGTAAAAATACCATAGGGTCTCTATTGTTAACTACTCAACTTGGTCACTGTAGCTGAAAGCAGCGCCAGGCAAAGGAATGCACGCAGCTATGTTCCAATAAAACTTTATTTACAAAACGGTCAGTGGGCCAGTTTGCCAACCTGTGTGTTAGAGGTTCCAATTTTAGATTCCTGGAATATCTGCAACAGAAACAGAGTGATCAACTAACATGTCCAAGGTCACACAGCTGAGCAGCATTGATGCCCCCATTCACCAACCAGCCAAGCCTTACTATGGTCCAGGGACTCCAGCTCCCTCCTCCTCGAGTTGCTGCCTCCAAAGTCGCTGCCCCTGGGGCAATGGAGAATGTGGGCAGGGAGATGGGGAAGCCAGAGGGAGGCCTGGGCAGCAGAAGACGAGTTATCTGGGAGGGAGAATATGAGATTGATCACCTTTCCCTTCCTTCCAAGTGTTTTGTTGGCTCAGTGCTAGGATCAGAATTAGGTCTTTGATATCCAAGTTACATCCTTAATTTCTGCATCAAATAAAAAAGTACATCCAAATCAAGAATCAAATTAATATGCCCCATGTCCAGCCACATGCTGATCACCAGGAAATTTGAGATCCGGCGTGGTTTAAGACTAACTAGTGGGGGACCTGGGAAGTGGGCCGAGTGATGGGTCCTCCGACCCTAGTGAGTAGGCAGCCCCTCCAGGCTCTGGGGCCTGCCTGGGAGAGCTGAGGCAGCCAGGAAGTTCCCTGAAGGGAGAGGATGCTTAAATTAAGCCTTAAAAGACAGGGAAGGCTCCTTAGCAGCTGCCCAAGAACATGGACTCCTGCCTCCTCTTTCTCTATATCTTCCAAATCTCTCTCTTCATTCTTGACTTCCTCTTCCTTTTCTTTGCACCCCCTGATTCTCTAACACAAGAGTGACAAACCTATCTATCCTTTTATGCCCACACCCATAGTAGACATTGCTAAACAACCCTGACAGTCTTTTAGCTCCTTCGGGAAGACATTACTAATCAATTAGAGTTGGAACAAGAGCTAGAACCTATTTGCTCTCTCTGCCGAGCTCTCTGTTCTCCTCACCCTTCTACTCAGCTCAGTGCCCATCTGCTCACCAAGACTCAGAGAGGTCAAGTAACCTGCAAAGGGTTGCCCAGTTCCTATGGGGCCATATGGGAGTGTATTTCCCTCTACAGAGGGACTAACTGTAGCCTTTCCATTTGTCCGCATCTTGATTCTGTGCATGTGACCAAGCCTGGTCTTGTCCCCCAGTGACCCCAGGCATGAAGATCTACATCGACCCTTTCACCTATGAGGACCCCAATGAGGCAGTGCGGGAGTTTGCCAAGGAAATTGACATCTCCTGTGTCAAAATTGAGCAGGTGATTGGAGCAGGTAGGTGGTGGGTGCTCTCCCAGGTACCATGGCCTCAGCCATGAGGGGGGAGTACTCTGGGGGCAGAGGGGAGCATGTGGGGTAGGAGCCTCAGAGGACCCTCCAAGGCCTGAAGGTTCAGAATAGCCAAGGTGGAAAAGCCCTCAAGGGTCATCCAGGAAAACTACCTCATCGATAGATGAGGAAACTGAGGCACAGGGCTGGGAAGGAGCTTGCATGTCATGTCAGAGATTGAGCTAGGTCTAGAACCCAATTCTCTGGACTCGGTCTAGTGCTGTGTCCTTCCTGTCCCTCTCTCCATCCCCCCAGGTTCCCCTACAGCCTCACCCCATACCCAGCCAAATACCATGGGGCAGCTGTGGAGACTTTACTGAGACCTTAGGGGCCCCCACATTCTACAAAGGGGTTCTTTGTCAAGAGGATGAGCTGACCACTGGGGAGAAAAAGTTCATTCAGGACCCAGGAATAGAGGTTACAGGGAGTGGGAAGGTGACATTTCCAGCTGGCAAGTGACATCCTGCCTTTCTTGGTGTGTGTGTCCCAGGGGAGTTTGGTGAGGTATGCAGTGGCCACCTAAAACTGCCAGGCAAGAGAGAGATCTTTGTGGCCATCAAGACGCTCAAGTCAGGCTATACTGAGAAGCAGCGCCGGGACTTCCTGAGCGAGGCCTCCATCATGGGCCAGTTCGACCACCCCAACGTCATCCACCTGGAGGGTGTTGTCACCAAGAGCACGCCTGTGATGATCATCACTGAGTTCATGGAGAATGGCTCCCTGGACTCCTTCCTCCGGGTAGGGAAGGCCAAGAGTTCCAGGGGCCCATGGGTGGGGAGGAAAAGGAGTGGTGGACGTTGTCAGAGCCTGACGGGGTCTTGGGGAAAACCTGTGTCAGGAGGGGCTCGTATGCTGCCTCTTTCCATCCTCTTACCAGTGGCAGACATTGCTAATGACCCCAGGACTCTGTCCCCCGAACCAGGTAGCAGTCTCAGAATCCTTTCAATCTAGGAAACCACAACCAGTCCGTCAAAGTCAGCACGCAGCCTGAAATCCGTTATCATCTATGCTTTTAGCCAACCTTCTCATTATGCAGGAGAGAAAAGTGAGGTTCAAAGATGGGTACGGTTTGCCCAGGATTACCTAGGGGGTCAGGGTGAGAGCCAGGACTGGAACCAGGTCTCTTGAACCCTAGTCCAGGATTTTCACCAGATTTTGGATTTCTCCAAAGCCATATGGGCTAGTGGGAGGAGTCCAGAGCACAAGGCCAAGAGAGGAGAGTTTTCAGACCCCCCAGGAGATCACAGTTAACCAGCTAGACAAAAAGCATAGAAACGTGCTGCTAGACTAGTTGCCATTTAACAAACGTTTTTAAGCACCTCCTATGTGCCATGCACATACCTCTGTGCGCCTTCTTATTTAACTCAGACAGCCCTGGGAGGTGGATATCATTTATCCCCATTTAATACACAGATGAAGAAACAGACTCAAGAGGTTAGGTCACTTGTCCAAGGTTGCACGGCCAGCAAAGGGCAGAGCCAGAGTCAAACCAGCTGCGTCTACTCCAAAGCCCATGTTCTTTCCCCCACCGTGAAATTGGCCTCTCGTGGGCCTCTCTAAGACCCCCAAGCATCTGAATTCTTCCCACAGGGAGCATGAGGCCAGGGTAGCAGGGTCCTGCTCTGGTTTCCTGTTGTGCCGATGATCCAGAGCTCTGATTGATGCCCTCCCATTCACTGTGTTTTCTCCACTTCTCCCAAAGCAAAACGATGGGCAGTTCACAGTCATCCAGCTGGTGGGCATGCTCCGGGGCATCGCGGCTGGCATGAAGTACCTGGCAGACATGAACTACGTCCACCGCGACCTGGCCGCCCGCAACATCCTCGTCAACAGCAACCTGGTCTGCAAGGTGTCTGACTTTGGGCTCTCCCGCTTTCTGGAGGATGATACCTCAGACCCCACCTACACCAGCGCACTGGTAAGATGGAGGCAGAGAACAGCGGGGTCATGGTGCCAGGAAAGAGGACATAGGTGTCCATCTCTCCCTACAATACCTTTTCACTGACACCTGCTCATGCCAAGCAGTGTGCCGGACCCAAGAGACATAGAGGCATAAATCACAGTTTCTGCCCGCTTGGAGCTCACAGGCTGGCAGGGGACACAGATGTGCAGAGAAACATGGGGTAACAGAGCTCTAAGTCAGGACACCAGTCTTGGGAGGCCCAGGAAGGCTTGCTAAGAGGGGGTGAGATGTGAGCTGAAAGCTGAAGGGCCAGTAAAAGTTTGTCAGATGCCATGTTCTCAAGCCAAGCTGTGACTGGAACACAGACCCTAAGAGGGGAGGTGGTGGGCAGTGAGACTGGAGAGGCAGGCAGGGCTGATTTTGGAGACCTGGAATGCCTAAACTCAGGACTGTCCCCTGCTGAAGAGTTTTAAACAGAAAGGAGCAAGACGAAGCCCCTGCCCGAAGAGCCCAGAATCTATAGCATAAGAAGAGGCAAGCACACAGGCAAATGATTTCAGTACTGCTCTGTATGACAAGTGCCTCCCTGACAGAGATCGAGGACCCAGTTGGAGGATTAAAAAGAGTGAGCAACTCCTTGGCACTTGGGACTTAGGGAGAGACTTTCAGAGATACTTAAAGGATAAGAAGGGGTTTTCAGACAGCAGAGTGAGGAAAGGCATTTCATGCAGAGGGAACAGCATGTGCAAATTCTCAAGGCCTAAAGTAGCATGGTGAGTTTGAGAAAGAATGAGGGGCTTCGTGTGACTGGTACGCACAGGGCATAGGGTGAGGAATATTGAGAGCAGAGACCACATGGATCAGCCTCTCACCCATTAACTTTCCTCATTGTGTTCCCCAGGGTGGGAAGATCCCCATCCGCTGGACGGCCCCAGAAGCCATCCAGTACCGGAAGTTCACCTCAGCCAGTGACGTGTGGAGCTATGGTATCGTCATGTGGGAGGTGATGTCCTACGGGGAACGGCCCTACTGGGACATGACCAACCAGGATGTGAGTATCCAAGGGGGCTGGGCAGAGCCTCTGTGGCCAGCCAGATGGGAGGGGAAGATCCAGAATTCCTGGCCTTTTTCTGAGCTCCCAGGGAATGGGAGCAAGGTCTCTGAGATACCAGGCCAAGGCAGCTCCCAGCCCAATGGTGGCTGATTCAGATGTCTACACAGGACCCTGGACTCTCCAGAGGTCAAGAACAGGAAAGGCCTACACATCCACAATTCAGCAAATCTTCAAGATGCCTTCACTTTGTGGTCAGCCCTGAGTGAGACTATCTCAGGTGTTTTCCACATAACTGGGGGACAGGACGCTTATTCCAGGAACAAGATGTTGTCGTCAGGAACTTTATGATCAGCTGTTAAATGGGAGAAGGCAGGTGTCAAGTCCTGTAGGTGTTGAGGCAAGGGCAGCATGAACAAAATCAGGAAGTCTTCACAGGACAGGTGGGATGCTCACAGTAGTAGGACTTGGGAGACATGAGGACTTCAAATGGGAACGTTAACCCGTGCAAAGGCCCCGAGGTGGGAACTGAGGGATCATATTGGGGATCGGTAGAGAGGAAAGATGATCAGAAAGGTTGATAAGGTTCAAAAATGGGGTGTTTGAAAATCAAGCCAGCAAATTCTGATCTGCAACAACACAAAACGGGAAGGACTTGAAGAAGCTTCTTGAGCATGGAGGGTGACTCACGGTCCAGCTAGGG